GACCCCAGGTCAGACAGTAGCAGGTACACCAAACAGAGGCCACAGTGCAAGAGAGGTCTCCTGAGGCCATGGCACTGCATCAAGGGAGCCCACACCAGGAAGGCAGAAGCCAGAAGCCAGGGGTGGGTTCTCCCCAGCTGGAGCTTCAGCAGGTCCACTCTAGAGCACAGTGGTTGGCCTGTTGCAGCAAAGGTGCCCAGCTGGAGACCTGGGCTGGAGCTCCTTACACATCTGAGTTATGGAGCAAAGTCCCCTGGAGAGGGGTCAGCTAGGAAGAGTCTGGTGGAGACTGCTTCTGCTGAGCCCCAGGGAGCAACAGACCAGGAGTCACCCAGCCTGGCACTACCAGCACCCGAGGCGTGCCTTTGTCTGTCTAGGTTTGCTGGTCACTGGCTACTGAGACAGGGAGGGGACAGCGGGAATGTGAGCTCCCTAGGGATTCAGCAACCCGTGCCAGCCCTCCGGAGAGCTGGGAGCACCGAACAAAGGAGGGATGACTCCAGGGCCACCAGTATCATCCCAATAGATGTTACTCAGCTGGAGGTTCTAACAAACATTCCCTGGACAGGAGGTTAGCCAACAACGTGCTGTGGGGCTCTATGTTGCAGTCTACCCCACCATGAAACACCCCACCAAGGCAGTCAATGTCCACAGAGCGCCCGTGGACTGTACAAGTTGTAGGAGGGCCCAGTGAGTCAGGAGGCACCAGTGACACTCCATCCAGTTGGGTGCTGTAGCTCTGTTAACTATTTTCCTGAAACCCTCAGTCCTCCTTGTGTATTTGAGAGCACGTGACCCATTGAATCACTTCTCAAGCCTCCCAGTGCAGAAGCTCAGAATTATTCAGAGGATTTCCCTCCTATTTACTAAATTCGAATTCATTCAAGAAAGTCAGCATTTATCCCTGCTGGTTCATTTATTACCTTCTAGAAATCCAAGACCCAGAGAGGTCAGAGTGTGTGTACAGGGCTGGGAGCGACATATGGTGAGAGCAGGTGCACAGGTGACACAGGTGCACACTCTCCAGGTGCCAGGGGCGGAAGATCTGGAGCCCCTCCTGGGTGGATCCCTCCCACCTCGCACCCTGACTCTCCTTGCAGAACCTCGTCATGTTCATGAGTGACTTCGTGGATTGGGTTATCCCCGACATCCCCAAAGACATCAGCCAGCAGATCCACAAGGAGAAGGTGCTCATGGTGGAGCTGTTCATGAGGGAGGAGCAGGGCAAGCAGCAGCTGCTGGACACGTGGATGGAGAAGGAGCATGCACGAGAGGAGCCATGCAACAATCACACCCCCAAAGCCTGCTCGGACAGCTGTGGCAGCAGCGGCCCAGCCCTGAGCCACGCATACCACGGGGACGCACTGTAGCTGCAACGGCTTGCTGGGCAGGCCAGCGGGCTTCCCACCCACAGCCACCCTCTTGGGGCAGGCGCACTAACCCCCACCAGGGCCTGGTGGCTCCTGTGTTTTCTACAAACGTGGAGGACCATTTTCTGATAGGACATTGTTTTTCTCTCTTTTTTTTTTTTCTGTATTTTTTCCTTGTTTTTGCACAAAACCATTATGCAGGGAACTTTTTTATCTTTAGTATTCAAGGTGAATCAAAATGATGGGTGGCAACGGGATGATACGCATGGTGAAGGCTGGTGCTTTGCGGAGCAGTAAATGACAACCTCCAGTCTCCTTTGCAGCGGGAAGAGGGCGGTGGCCCAGACATCCTCTGCCGTCTAACAGATGCGTGCAGGCAGATGCAAAATGGTGCTCAGAGGCACTGGGCAGAAGCTGGTGAGATGTTTCAGGAAACCCAGAAACTAAGAAGGGGTAGGCAGTGTGGGACCTGGCTCTGAAAGGCTGTGCCTGCCTCTGGGTCAGAAATGCTAGGGGACTTTAAATGTCTTCTCCTGAGAGTTCAGAACCCGAGCCCTTCTGGGCAGAAGAGAGGTGCCCAGCCCTGTCCACATGGAAGGCAGGGGAGTCTCTGGTGTAGTCTGGGAGAATGAAGGGGTGCAGTCGTCCCTACTTAGCAGTGACTGGTGCACTTGTGTCCCAGCCACACAGGCGCCCATCATACTGCGCTGACCTTGGAAGATATCATCCAAGGTCCTGTGGAATAAAAGCAGGGTGACAGGGAACAGTCACGGGCAGCTACCTGGAAGGCATTTCTAAGGAAGGTCTAAGGGTCTCATCAAGTCCTGAGGCTTCCACGGTTTATTCAAAGCCTTAGAATATTTATTGGTTTGTTGTTTTTTTTGTAAGTCCGTGATGAGGTGGATTTGAGGACTTTTTTTTCCTGTAGCTTGAGGTGGAAGTTTATTAGTTAACCAAATATCAGTGAGAGGAAATTAAAATACTGTTACTACCAAAGATTTTTATTAATAAAGTCTTCTATTTTGATAACACTTCTCTATATTTTTACTCATAGGAATGTCACTGTTGGACAATTACCATTTTACAAGCTTATAAGAACAAATCTCACAAATAATACAAGCGATCTAAATTGCAGCAGTTATACTAACCAATCCTCAGAAATTTCTCAGGCACTAAGAGAAACATCAAAAGACGCTTCACTGAAGCCAAGGAGAAAAACCTTAGGTGTATTTGCCTTGACCTTGTCGTGGATATAATGTTGACATTCCTGTAATCGGCCAACTGTGATCAAAGCCTATGGGTGTCATAGATTTCCATTATTTGCTAAAATCATGCAATCTGATGCTTCTATTTTCTCTTGTACAGTCAGTAGTTTCAGATGAGGTTTTTGTATATAAATATTGTATTAAAAGTTAGATGATTACCCAAAAATCCTTTTATGGAAACCATTTTTTAAAAAACTGAATGTACACAAATTCACAGAGACTGTGGCTGAACGTTCATTTAAATAAATTTGAATACACAATGTTCTCCTCAGTTCACTGCAGTCTTCTTGACTTTTGCCCCAGGAAATTCGAGAGGCAGAGAGGCTGTCCCTGAAGATCCTGTAAGTCTGTGGTTGTTGCTGCAGGTTTGGGAATGACTGATCTCAAGTCCTCGGTTCCTTTGGTGCCGGACACATGAGTTGTTCTAGGTGTTCCTGGGATTCCATCTCTCTGTGTGTGTGCTATGTTGTTATTGTCTGTGTGCACACGTACATGCCTGCATGTTTGCACACGCACACCTATGTGCATACTTGCAGGTGCTTTATGCACTGCATATGCGTATATGTTTGCCTTTGCTTATATGCATGTGTTTGCGTGTGTTTATGTATACCACACACTTGCCCTTGTTTATATGTGCTTGTGCGTATCCTTATGCATCTATGAGTGTGTGATTCTGTGTGTACGTTCATGTGTTTGCATGATTTGTGTGCATAGTGCAAGTGGGTTCACATACATTCACCTCTGCTGTGTGTGCACATGTATGAATACACAAGGATGTGTGTGTAAATTAATGTCATGTGACCCTATATATGTGTTAGGACAAGAGATTAGGGTCACCTTTTCTTAGCAGAGTCTTCTGTAACTCCCCAGTCCAACCCCTGGGCCCACAGCCCAACAGATTAGTAGCAGTAGCCTCGAGCGCCCCCTAGTGCTGATGCTCCTTGTGGCTAGACAGCCTCAACCCATTGTGAACTTCAAGGATACCTTTCTAGGACCACTTTCTCCATCCTGAGGGCTGCCCATGGAGGACATGCCCTGGAGCGGTATCACAGGAATCCCTCCCCTCTCCATGGACCCCCTGTACCCTTTGGTGGATGAGGGCCCAGGCTCCTCACATGAAGGCAGCCTGGGACACAGCCCTCCCACAGAGGCCCTAGGGCATCAGGGTGCAGGATGGGGCAGAAACAGGGATGGGGAGGAGGTGAACAGAGCCAACTAGGGCAAGGCTCCTGGTCTACACGAAAGCTGAATGCGGTGGTCATGGCTGGACTAGGGAAGAATGGGATCTGACTGATACTTCAGGGTCTCCCAGGGTCACCAGAAGCCATGGGGTGAAAATTCAGTGGGATGGGAAGCCAGAAAGGGTGCTGCAGAAACTCAGGTGAGTGATGGCAGGGCTTGAATGAAGATGTCGGTGGTGGGTGGAGAGAAGCCAGTAGTGTCAAAAAGACCTGAGACTTGGCAGTGGCAAACCCCACACAGCCAGTGCCACTATTTTAGATGGGCACAAGGAGGCTCAGAGAGGGCCTGGCTGTGCTGTGGACACTTGACAAGCTGGCTACACACCATCCCATGGATCCAGATCCCTAGGTGCCTAGAGCAGGATGTTTTCTACTGCTCATTCCTGGGAGCAGGGTGAAATGGGCTCTGGAGGCCTGCAGGCACTCACATCACAGGGAAATGTACATTTAAAATCCAGATCTGCATGTTCTCCTGGCAGGTCACCATCTGATGTCCATTTGGCATCATGTTACAATGTCACATCCGATATGAGTACAGGGCTGCTGTCTAGCTGGTGCATGTGCCACCTGGCTCCTCCCCACCTCCCAATTGTACCTACTTTCTGGCATCACTGAGGCTTCTGGAATCACTGGCCTTGCTAGAGACCCAGGTCCCTGTCCTCAGTCTAGGATGAGCTGCGAGACTCCCTGGACCAGATTGTCCAAAGCATGTGCCTGGGTCAGGCTGTCCCCATCGAAGGCGGGACTAAGGACTCTGGCCCAGGCACCGCACCCCTCTTCTCCCCCACACACATTCTCCTACAGTCTCCGGGAGTCACTCATATGCCTCCTAAGGTGACTCCACACCATGGGGTTGTGGGGTGACCACACTTGAGAGAACACTGTCTCATATCGCCATGTTTCACATGAGCTATAGTAAAAGAAATGCTGACATCTGCCAGAACCAGGAAGGAGCACCTGGCCAGGGCCAGGCACAAAAGCAAGCACCAGAAAGTGAACAAGTGAGTGAGGGATGGATGGTGAGTGGAATGGGTGGGCGGGGGAGAGATGGGAGGGTGAAATCAGTGAATGGATGTCTTATTATTTTTTACTGGTCGCTGAGACAAAATACCTGATGACCAAAGTTGGGAAAGGAAAGGTTTATTTCTTACAGTTTCTGTAGGTTTCAGTCCATACTCAGTTGGCTCCAAGGCAGGGTGGCATGGTGGGGCCGCAGTTCATGGTGGCTGCAAACAGCAAGCCCAGAAACCAGCAGGAGAGAGAGAGACACACCTTCTTCCTGCCATTACATTGTATGCTGGCCCCACCCCTATGTGGGCGTGGCACTCACACCCCCAATCCAAGCGCTAAACAATGAACCAAGCACAAATGCACAATGCAAGGGCATGAGGCTTGGGGGCCACCAACATAAACCATGATAGTGGATAAATAGGTGGATGGAGAGATGGATAGATGGATAAGTAGGCGGATGGGTGAGTACACAGTGGATAGGTAGATGTCTGCGTGGATGTTTGAGATGAGGCTAAACAAATGGCAAATAACCAGACAACTGGCTTTTCTGCCTTTGAGCCTGGTCAGTCCAGGATCGAGCTAGCCAGTGCGGGAGTGGGAGAAGAAAGAGGTACACGGAAGGCAAACCACAGTGCCTCTGGCCACAGATGTGCCCTCAGCAGGCCGTCCACACACTGCTGTCCCACACAGCCTTTGCCAGTGGCACAGACACAGCTTGCTCCTGCTGAAGCTCTGCCTTGGGACCAGCATGGATGTCCTAGCCAGGTGTCAGCTGGGTGGCAGGTGCTGTCCCTGCCAGGGGCTCGGAGGGACACAGCCACAGAAGAAAGGCTGGCTGGGGATGTCCTCCGTTCTGCCAAATCATTTATCTTCTGCTGTTCCATTCCTCCTCTTCTTCCTTTCCCTACTTCATTCCCCCCTTCTCTGGTCCTTTCTCTCCTTGTGTATTTTATTAAAGTGTAACATTGAAAATTGACGATACCCTAAGACACAATTTCCTTCAAAATCAGAGGTATCTGTGACCAGATCTGCAGCCAGGTTCCTGAAACAATTTCATGACTGCTCGGAAGTATCTGTCTGTCCCTCCTCTGTGTCCCTCTTCATCCATCACCCTGACTTCTTGCCAAGAAATGAGTTCCTTTTCCTTCTTGTTGGTGGCTGTCGCCCTCTGCTGGCAGTCGAGGAAGTTGCAGATAGGCATGGAAAAGGCCAGCCCTGAGTGGTTAAGAGATCACAAACTCCGCCTCAAAACAGCAATTCTTGCCTTAGAGTTCTGTAGTTGGTGCCTGACACGGGTCTCAGTGGGCTAGGATCAGGTAGGAGCCTGCTGTGGAAGGCATACTTGGCCGTGGCTCCTCCTTCGTATTCCAGCCCAGTCTCTCACACTTGCCAGCTCCCTGGTTCTGTTTTGAGGACTGTTTTATTAGGATCTCCCGGGACAAACCAAGCTAACCTCCCATCCCAAAGTCCTCAATCTTCCTCATATCGTTAGGGACCCATTTGCCATCGAACCAACATACCCCAGGTCCAGGATGAGGACCCATTCTGGGATCATTGCAGGCCTGGATTTAGACCGTGGGGATCTTTGGGGACATTATTTTGTCTACCACACACACCTTCCCCTCCAGAAGTAGGCTCCTTTTAAAAAACTAAGGACTTACAAGGAGAGCCAAGCAACTGCAGATATCTGAGTAAAGTGTTCACTGAGAAAGGTCAAACAAAACAGAAAAAGAAGAGAAGAGGAAAAAAATAAACAAGAACCATTGAGAAGATGGGGGGGGGGACAAAAGAATTCTGACCATCAATGTCTTCACAATTAGGTAAATTTACAGCCAGGTATGGTGGCACATGCCTGTAAACCCAGTGCTCTGAGAGCCTGAAGCAGGAGGGTCACAATTTTGAGTCCAGCTTAGGGAACTTAGTGAGACTTAGTCTCAAAAGAAAAAATAAAAGGATGGTGTATAGTGGTAGAGCGCTCCTGTTTTCAACCCTCAGTACCATAAAAGAAATTTTTAAAAAGTAAAATTCCTTCTATGAAACCAGTACAGGATGTTTTCTTCCTTCCTCTCTCCCTTCTGTGCTTCTTTCTGTTTTGGGGTTTTTTTTTATATGATGCTAAGTAAAATTAAGAAATACATAAACCAGACTTCATCAGAATTATAAATTTCTGTGCATCACAGGATGTCAACAGAGTGAAAAACAGCTCACAAGTAGGAAGAGATATTCACAAATTACATATAAAGGAATCACATCCACAATATGTAAAACACTCTACAAATCACCAAGAAATCTGATTTTTAAATGGGCAAAGCACCAGGCATGATGGTGTGCGCCCATATCTCAGCACATGGTAGGGCTGAGGCAGGAAGATCGCTCGATCCCAGAAATTCAAGGCCACCCAGAGAACATACCAAGACTCTGTCTCAAGGGAAGAAAGAAAAGCAATGGACTTGAATAAACGATTCTCCAAAGAAGATATACAAGTGCTCAAAAAGCACAAAGATGCTCACCATCGCTAATTACTAAGCAAATGCAAATCAAAACCACAATGAGACACACCTCATTATTTTTAAAAAAAAATAATAATAGTTGGCATGGATGTGAAGCAGGACACTTAGAGGGCATCAAGATCCGTAGTTGCGTTTTTGTGCCTTGCCCCTTGTATTTGCTTTTTAATATATCCTGACACATGGCTAAATCGATTATAAGGTAAAGGAGTAATAAAAAAAAAAAAGGAAAATGTTATAGCGGCTCGTGGGGCTTTGCAGTAGCTGTACACTTTCAGTCCGATCTCCCATCCCGAGAGGAGTAAGCTCAAGCACTTATTAGCTTAGCACCTAAAGAATACTGTACATTCCAGGCCTCATCAGCAGGCCCAATTATCTAAGAAATGAGCTGCTGGAGCAGGCCAAGGCAGCAGCGGAAACAGCTACACTTGAAATCAATAATACCAAAGACACTATGCCAGCAGTGATCTGTCTCAGCACACTCTGCTCTGTGGATGAAATGATCAACAAATGAGCAGCAGGGGTCTAAGGTCATGGTTCAGCTAAATTAATAGGAACCCGTCCTCCTGGCATATGCCCTAGGATCACTAGTCTTATTTTGTACAGATCTGAAGGGAATGCACTGACTCAAGGTGCATTTTGGATAGGTAAAAGGATTAGCATCCCATTGTATATTCCCATACATTAAAACACATGCGTAGGCCAGGCATGGTGGCTCACGCCTGTAATCCCAGCACTCAGGAGGCTGATGCAGGAGGATCACTGTGAGTTCAAGGCCATCCTGGGCTGCAAAGTGAGTTCAAGGCAAGCCTGAATTGCACAGTGAGACCCTGCCTCAAAAAGATTTTAAAAATGGATTATAGATACACATGGAAGTTCAAACAGCCCTATAGTACAATGCTAAGAGCCTGACTAGAAAGTCATTACCAGTCCATAAGCACCCTTCTCTAAAGGGAAGAGCCAATTTTCATAAATTTTCTTGGGCAGGTCCAAGTTTTCCATATTGCAAAAACTGGGGGAAAGGTGTATTAAAACTTTCTACCCAATTTATTTCCTTAGTAGAGACAGATTTTTTTAGTCACATTACCAAAGTTAGTCCAGTTTTATTTATACCAGTCTGTACCACTGTCCTTTCTCCCCATAAAACTTCCCCCAAGGTCCCCAGTCAATAAATTCATATATGGGGCTGGGGATTTAGCTCAGCGGTATAAGTGCCTGCCTTGCAAGCGTGTGGTCGTGAATTCGATCCCTGGTACCGGTAAAAATACAAAAAATAAAAAAATAAAAAAATAATAATAAATAAATTCATATGCTCCCAGTTTTCCATATCTTCCTGTCTTGGTTATTTTTCTGTCATTGCTGAGACAAAATACCTGACACCCAAAATTAGGGAAAGAAATGTTTATTTCTTACAGTTCTTGGAGGTTTCAGTTCATACTCAGGGGGCTGTAAGGCAGGGTGGCACGGCAGGACTGCGGTAAACACCAAGCACAAACTGGCAAAAGGAGAGACACACCTTCTTCCCGACATCGCACAGTATGCTGGCTCCACCCCTGGGCGGGCACAGTACTCACACCACCAATCCGAGCACTAGACAACAAACCAATCACAAAGGCTAGATTCAGCCGAGTCCATGACTGCATGAGACTTAGGGTGGGGGGATACTGACATAAACTATTACACTGCCTGACTGGCCCCTACATATATTCCATGGCAGAGGGGCATCTTTATGAAATCCATCTCGTGTAATGTGAACCTGACAAATTGGATATTTGGACAGGAAGGAATCTTTTTATTCTCCAGTCATGTAGTTGGGTCAGGGCCAGTTGGAGAGACCCTAAAGTCCTACACTGCCCCTCCATTATTTGAAGGGCCCATTTGCCTGCAAAAGGGATCCATCTTCATGGTATTTGGAACACCAATCCTTGGCCCAGTCATAGCCTTTAGAACAATGAGAACACAAAGTGGCTGGAACCACTTGTTTTTTGGTTTTGGTGGGGGAGAGGGGTGCTCTGATTTGGGCTTTTTTGTTGTTGTTGCTTTTGGTCTTTTTGAGATAAGGTCTCACTATGTAGTTCCGGCTGAGCTTTGGCTCACTTTGTAGCCCAGGCTGGTCTCAAACTTTCAAAGGATTCTCCTGCCTCAGCCTCCCAAGTGCTGGGATTGTCAGCACACCCAGTTTCCATTTGTTTTAGAGGCGGTAGGAGCGGTGACATCACCGTTTATGTCCTTGCACTGTATAACTTTTTCTAAGGTGTCCCACTTCTCCACATTCAAAACATTTGATCTCAGTTTTTGCCTCCTTTAAATTGTTGGATATGGCTTGGGCCATTAAGGCTGAATTGTAAGAGGAATAGCTTATATTTTGATTGGCTCTTGTATAAGCTCCAAGATCACTGAGTCCACTAACAGACAAAAGAGCCTATTTACAATCATGATTATTGGTTTGTTTGGGGTTTTTGTTTTGTTTTGTTTTTGGTACTGGGTATGGAACTTATGACCTCTTGCTTGGGAGATCACATGGGGCCGCCAAAATCCTAACCATTGTCAGTTCCCTGAGTTATCATTTTACATAAAACACACAAGATAGACTAAATCAAGGTACATTAAAAAGTAAAATTTTGTCACATGCTACAACATGGATGCACCTTGAGGACACTATGCCCACTGAGATAGACCAAACACCAAAGGACAATCACTGTAGGATTCTCCTTCTATGGGGCCCTAGAGAAGGAACCAGGTCCACAGAGACAGGAAGCAGGGTGGGGTCCGGGGAGCCGGGTAGTGAGTCAGTGCTCATTGGGGCCAGAGATGAGAACGGATGGTGGTGACACCTGCCCAAGAGTGTGACTATATTCAGTGCTGCTGAGCTGCGCACTTAAACGTGGTGCAGTCAGTGAAGTTACGGGGTGTACATGTTACCACAATAAAATAAGGAGGAAGAGAAGCAATCACGGGTCAGGGCCGGGCAGGGCGGGAGCACTGGGGCCGGGTGATTGGTGCTATGACTCACTTGCCCCTCTGCCAGGAGCTCTGTGTACATACAGGACCCACCACACCCCACCCCAGCGCCCCCCCACTGTCCACTTTTCTTTCCCTGTAAATGTGACTCCCCTAGTCCTCATAAAGGCAGGTGGAGCCACTGATGGCTGTCTCGGGGCTCAGCCCCTTCCCTTCCTCTGGAAACTGAAGAAAAACTTCTTTTTCCCAAATTCATTTTATTTCAAGGAGAAAAAGAAAAAGAAAGAAGAAAAAAACTAAAAATTTCTAAACACATCAATCAGGGGGCAACAATGGTACATACATGGTGCATTGTCATCTCCAAATCATTCACCCAGAGCACAAGAGATCTGCCTTCAATTTTCCAAACATTACCATCTCAAATCTCTCTTTGGTGAACTCAGAGAAATCAGTAGTATAACTATCTTAACTATTTTTATAGACATATACATATATCATTTCTTTCAGCTTCTCACACTAATGAGACAATATGTGTTTACACTTGTGTGTCATATTTATTTCATTAACAAGGATGGTCTCAAATGCATCCATTTAGCTGTATAAGTCTCCAGTTTATCCTTCTTCGTGGCTGAGCAGTGCTCTGTTGTATAGAAATACCACCTCTTTTTTATCCATTCCTCAATGGGCATTTAGGTTGTTTTCAAGATCTGGCTATTACAAATTGTGCTGCTACAAACACGGGTGCACATAAATCATTGTGGAATGATATTTTTAATTCTTTTGGGAAGGTATCTAGAAGGGGAATAGCTGGGTCAAATGGGCCCTCTAGTCCTAGTTTCCTGGGGAGTCTCCACTTTGATTTTCACAGTGATTGCACCAGTCTGCATTCCCACCAGCTCTGCAAAAGGTTCCATTTTTCCCACTGTTGTAACCTATATAGGTATATTTTTTAAAAACCCTCCTAAGTCTCCTCAGAGGCAAGAGAAAGATCAAAGGTAACTCTAAGAGCAGAACAGGATGTCAAGTCCTAATCTAAACTTGCTTGTTTGCAGGATGTGCCTTCCCCAGAGGATGTTTACCTAATCTAAACTTCCTTGTTAGCCTACCTGAACCTTGCTCTTCCCAAGAAATGTAACTGCTGTGTTCCTATTCTGTAGTGCGCCGTGAACCCCCACCCCCCTTGCATTGTGAGACCAGCAGCTGTTTGCGGTTTTACAGGATAAAAACCCTGCCCTTTCGCTGTTAGACGCACAGTCTTCCATATTGGCTACTGGAGGCTGCGTTGCCAGGGTTGTGCTTTAATAAACAATTTTCTTCAGGGCTGGGGATTTAGCTCAGCAGCATAAGTGCCTGCCTTGCAAGCAGGCAGTCATGAGTTCAATCCCTGGTACCGATAAAAAGAAAAAAGACAAAAAATAATAATAATAATAATAAAATAAATAATTTTTTTCTTTCCCAATTATTTCCTCTGGCTCCTTCATACCTCGGGAAGCGGACCACCATACCCACAGCCCTTCCAGGTTTGTTATTGTTAAGTTTCCTGATAAAAGCCCTACTTTCTGAGATGAGGTGCAATCTGAGTGTTGTTTTAATTTGCATCTCTCGAATGACCAGTGCGGTTGAACATTTTTTCACATATTTATTTGCTGTTTGTATTTCTTCATCTAAGAAGTGTGTGTTCATCTCAGATGCCCATTTTTGGACTGGGTCTTTAAATCTGGGAGGACTGATTTTTTTTTTCATTCTTTATGTGTTCTCAATAGTAATCCTTTGTCTGAGGAACAGCTGGCAAACATTTTCTCCCACGTTGTGGGTTGTCTCTTCACTCTGCTGGTGGTTGAAAACTGCAGAAAACTTAAATCACCAGTCCCTTCGCTTGGGAATAAGCCCTCTAGAGTACATTTTGCCTGCTCTTAGCTGCTTGCTTTTAACTGACTATAGCTAACAGCTCTGCATGTGCATCAGCCAGAGCCTCTTCCCGCACTGGGGAACACAAATATCCCAAACACCATTGTGGGGAGGATTTGAGGCCTCCATCTGGGAGATAAGCTCTTTGCGAAGCTCCTTGGCACAGTGACTGGCACACTGCTCACCAGGGACAAACCCCTCTCTACAAACCTAAAAGGGAGGACTCCCCCTGGCCTGCCCCACCTCAGTGCACAGAGAGATTCAAGAAACAAACCACAGATTTCCAGGAAGATGGCAGACTGTGAACACAGAGCAGAGCCACTTCCAGATTTGGTGTCCAGACACTGGAATGTAGCAACAGGAAGAAGACAGAGAAGGAGGGAAGTGGGTCCCTAGGATCCAGGAAGGATCTGAAGGGAGAAATAAAGCCCACAGGGAGAGTGAAAAAAATACTTCAATGAGAAAGAAGAAGGTAGCATGTGATGCTTTCTTCCTGAGCTCGGACTCCCTGTGTGAGAGGATCAGCTCAAACCTGCAGATGCACGGTGACATTGGTGACCCCAGACGCCTCCACGGAGAAAGATGCTGTGGGAAGAACAGAGCAGTGCTCGAGCACTGCTGTATTGTTTTTGCTAATAGAAATCTAAGTGGAACATGCTGGCTGCTCAGTCTGAATTACTGATAAGCCATTTTATATATTCATGAGTGTTTTTTATATATTTGGGGCTCAATGTATTATATCTACCCCTGGAAAATATTTTGACAATTACTTAAAATAATTTTTAAGGCCTCTATTTGGAGATCTGGAAGAAAATAAATAGTGTGGATAATCAGACTATAAAAGGGACTAGTTACATAAAATGTACTATTTGTTTGCACAAAAAAATACTTGCATTCACCGGAGACATAGCTCAGTGGCACAAGCACCTCCCTGGCAAGCCCAAGGTCCTGTGTTCAATTCCTGGTAACAACAACAACAACAAATACATTCATTGCAGAAAAATCCAAAGCCACAAATAATAGTAATAAATTGCTTGTAGCACCTGAAGAGATTACTACAATAAATTATTGTATGCCACAGAATATGTAGTCAAAAACTTAGAATGTTAATAAACATTCCTTTCTGAAAGGAAGGAAGTAAGTTACACCACACGGTAGACAATGCATCGTCTCAGGGAGAATCTTCTAGAAGAAACAGGATGGAGGTTTGTCCCCATGTCTGGGAAGAGTCCCGCAAGCTGTCACAGGTTTTGGCCTGCAAGGCCCAGTCAAGAAGACCTGATACCCTGGCTCCACAGCAAGACCACAGGCCACTCACTGCTGGTATCCCAGGGGACCCAGGCCTCAAGGACATCAAGGATGAAGAGGAAGACAGGAGAGGACCTCTGCTGAGACAGCAGCAAGTACAGACTGCCTCCTATGGGCTTCAGGAGGTGAGGTGGGACCCTAAAGGAGCAGATGGGCTCCAGGCTTCCTTGGCAGCTGCAGAGCCACAACAGTACGGCAGGGATAGGGCCTGGGGGTCATCTTACACAGTCCTCAGCCCACACAAGACTATAGCCACTCCCCAATCTCCACCCATGGAGATGCCCTGATGCCTCAGATGGTTCCCAGGGGTGCCTGAAGGCACACTGTCTCTGCAAGCCCTGTTAGAACCCTGTGCTCCCCAAAAGGTCACTTGAGGACCACTCAGCGGCACCAGGAACCCAGAAAATGCACAAAGACACTGGTTGCGTCACTTCTGTGGGTTTTGGGGCTCATGAGGAGATGAAGCCATCAACAAACTGCCTTTGAGCTAGAACTGAAGTCAGGTCAGAGAGGCTTACGCCCCAGCTGTACATTAGCCATTTTTCTTTTAAGTGCTGAGGATCCTCCTGTCTCAGCCTCCTGAGCAGATGGGATGACAGACATGCACCACCACACCTGGATGTCCATTCATTTTGCAGTATTTAATGTTTAAAACTCAAGCATATTTTCACATAGACCTAGATTTAAGACATTTGTTGAAAAATAACGACTTCTCCAATCCTGAGCTCATTCTGCGGACAACCCTCATTGGAGACAGTAAAACCTGGGCCAGGCCTTGCATCTCCTGGCTTCTGTGTTTCTGGAATTCCATTTTTTCCTGCTGCAGAACAGACCTGAAGGCAACTGGGGCTAGAATATGAAAGGAACTGGCCTCTCCAGACAAAGCGAGGAAAGGCGGAATTAGCAGAGGGACAGAAGCTCAGATCAGTAGAACACACTAGAAACACTGGAAATAAAACAAATCTACCAATGGATTTTTGACAAAGATGCACATTACAGTTTGGATCTGAAAGGTCCCCCTAAAGTCACCTGTGACTGGAAGGCAATTGGATAACGGAAGCACTGTGTTCATCAGGAGATTGGTCTATCAATGGGTTCAGAGCTAACTGGCCATTTGGGTGGTAGGGTCTGTCTGGAGGCGACAGGTCATTGTTGCTGTGACTTGGAAGGGTGTATCCCTCTAGGATCTGCTTCCTGGCCACCATGAGATGAGCAGTTTCCCTCTATGGCCCTTCCACCATACCATTTTTACATTCGAGCCTACCGAATATGGACTTCTAATAACCGTGAGCTGTTCGTCCTTTAAGTTACAGGTGTCCCAGTGACAATGAAAGCAACCAAGACAATGTAAAACCAATGGAAAAAAGACAGCTTTTCCACAACTGATGCTGGAGCAGTTAGACGTTGATGGGTCAAAAGGAAAAAAAAAAAAAAAAAGAAGAATCTCAACTGCCTCCTATGTTCCCCTCCCCTTTTAAAAAAAAAAGTCAGGGTCTCACTGTATAGTTCAGAACTCACTATGTAGCCCAGGCCGAGCTTGAACTCACAGTGATGCTCCTGCCTCAGCCTACCAGTTCTGGGATTGCAGGTTCGTACCACCACACCCTGCCTAATACCTCATTGAAAGTCACCATAAGGTTGAAGGATGCTCAGCCCCTCCTCCTGTGCTTCCCATGCTCAATATCCCCAGAAAAATGTCTACCTGGCATCTCAGGTCTCAAACCCTTGCTTCTCCCCCAAATCTGCCCATCCCTTGACTTCCTTGGTTGATCAATGGAAACTGTCCTTTAACCTTGCAATGCATCAGAATTTTTCGTTTACACCCCCTTTCTAATCTTTCAGGTGCTTTACCTCAATAAACTTTTCCTACTTATAACCTCCTTTGTTCTTACATTCATTTTTCAGTTATAGAGAAACACAAACTCAACACTACAGAATGTACTTCCTACATGTTTGTAAATATTGACATATAATATTTATTATTAACATGTGTAGTTGTTTTGTTACTGAGCCAAAGTCTCGCTACATAGCTCAGGCTGGCCGTGGATTCACTATGTACTCACGCTGGCTTCGAACAGGCAGCCATCCTTCTGCCCCTGAGCGCTGGGATTACAGGGGCGCGCCACCGCACATGGCAACACAGGTGATTTACTGGGACTCTGCAAGTTGAGAAACCAAAGCCATCCCAATCCCGTCCCAGCCGTCCACACAGCAGGAATGCACAGTGCCTCGCAAAGACGCCAGCTCCTCACACACCAAGGTAAATGCCGTAACTCCTAACACTCTAGCTTTACGCCAGAAAAAAGACCCACCGAACTCAGGGGTAGAAACAGGGTCGAACCAGCTCGCGTAGAATGCCTACTGTTGGGCGCAAAGAGCATGCGCAGGTCTCGTGTTCCCGCGAGACTTCAAGCGAGGACGGCTACAGTGACTTCCGGTAACAACCCGGAAGTGGAAGTGTAAAATCACTACGGATTTAGCGGAGCTTCGGACGTTTAGCGCGCGGCTGCCCGGATCTGGCCAGCCTGAGCGCCATGGACCCCTTCCTGGTGCTGCTACACTCTTTATCGACCCGCCTGTCGGACAGAGAACTGACTGAGCTCAAGTTCTTATGCCGGAATCGCGTGAGCAAGAGGAAACTGGAGCTCATGGAAAGTGGCCTCGACCTCTTCAACGTGCTGCTAGAGCAGAACGATCTGGACGCCGAGCGCACAGATCTGCTGCGCCAACTGCTGACCTCTCTGCGGCGCCAAGACCTGCTACAGTGCCTAGACAGCTTCGAGGTGGAGGCTACCGCTGGAGCATCTCTGAGGGAGACAGGTGCGTGTGTGGGGGCCAAGGAGGCAAAGCCAGTTCGCCCAGCCGCAGTCCGTGAGACCCCACCGGGCGCCTGACTTTTGCCAGGTTCGGTTTGTGTAACATGTCTCCAGAGGACTCAGGGGCGAGTGGCACACCCGCTTTACAGATGGGAGAATCAAAATTCCAAACAGTTCATTCACCCAAGGTTGCAGAGCCTAAACACCCACCTCCTGATCCTCAGTGTTTACTTAACCACCCCGAGGAAAATGACAAAACTCGCCAGAGAAAGCAGCTTTGCTAACATCAGGATGAACTGCAGGCGTAGGAAGTGGTCAGAGGTCAGCGGAGTCTGTTATTGCAGACTTCTGCCTCTGCGAGTGTGCCTGGCTCATAATACCCGTTATCGACCTGGGAGAATTGTGCCTCACTTATTAACTCTGACCCGCGGGCTTACAGAGTGACGCCTACTACACAATTACCATATTGCTTAATGTTCACAGTAGCCCTGCTAAATACTGTTTACTATGGTTTAAATTTAATGTGCTCTCCAAAAGCCTCATATGTTCAAAGATGTGACTTTTAGAAGGTGGTTGGAGCAATGGATGCTTTGCTCGTGGTACATTAATCCATTGAGTGCATTGCTGAATGTGCTTGGAGGTGGTCACTGGGGGAGTTGTCTAAAAGGGTATATTTTTATCCCAAATCTTTCCCTTCTTTGTTTCTTGACTTCCATGGGGTAGAACAGCTTTCTTGTGCCCTTCCATCATACCATTTCTTTTTTTTTTTTTTTTTTTGTCTTTTTCGGTACCAGGGATCGAACTCACGACTGCCTGCTTGCAAGGCAGGTGCTTATGCCGCTGAGCTAAATCCCCAGCCCCTCATCATACCATTTCTACTTTGAAAGCAGACATCCATGGGTAGAGGCTCTGAAACCACGAGCCAAACAGCCAGAAGTAAACCAAGACTGCCTGACCTCAGGTCATGTGGTTCTTGTTGAGCATCCTAATTTAAGTCTCAAGTTTGAAATGTCACAAAATTTAAAATTTTCAAGCACTGACGTGATGCCCCAAGCAGGGCATTCCATATCAGGAAACTTTGTTCCATACACAAAGTTACTTAAGGTAATTTGTAAAGTTACCTTCAGACTAAGATATAGAGGAAAAAAGGAATTTTGTGTGTAGACTGGAGTCCCAAAATCCCTCATGATTATGCAGATATTCAGAAATTAGATAAAGGAGGGCCAGGGTTTAGCTCAGCATAAGTGCCTGCCTGGCACTTATGAGTTCGATCCCCAGTACCAAAAAGAAAAAATGAGATAAGGAATTCCCTGTGTCAGCCACAGCACTGCCTCTTTGATGAGAGTTGTTCCTTCCTGATCTGTCAGCCCCCTCTCCACCATTACCTGTGGCTTACAGCAGTTTTAGGAGTTAAAATGAGTCCAGAGTTCAATGTTTCTCAGCCTCGCTTCCTTGTTTCTCAGGCTCAGGGAGGGAGCGTGGGGTGAACCTTGGGGATACACTTCACAGGCTTCAGGCAGTTGCTTGGGATTGGCCATTGAGTCAATGAACAAAACAGGAATAAACACTCTCACCATGATTGTTACTCTACAAGAACTAGTGCTTATTGTTGGCAAGCAGAGCAACTCCTCTATCTGAAGGCATTCAAGGTTCTGATATAACACTGCTGACCAGACAGAACAGGACAGAAAAACTGTCTTCATGAGCATTTACTCATGAGGAGATGCGGATAAATTTAAAATATGGTGCTGAAAGTATGTATAATAACTTCTTAGGCTTATGTTTGTGAGTGCATGTGGCTGCGTGTGTGTGGCTATGTGTGTTTATGTAGTTACCTAATTACTGGAGGAAAGTACACCAGGTTGACAGCGTGTATGGCTAGATGGGGAACTGGTGATTCCGTATTTCTATATTAGGGCATTTCAGCACCATGGTTAAAAGCTGGTTCTGATACTAGCTTCAGCTTTTGAATCCTGACTTTACCATTTTCTAGCTGTATGATGCCAGGGAAGTCTTAACATCCCTGTACCTGTTTCTTTCCTAGTACCAATGGTTGTAGTAACAAGAATCTCACTCTCACAGCTATCAGTGCTATAGGAGTTGGCACAAGTGTCAACAGTGTCCCTGTTATGTAGGAACAGATTGAATTGTTAGGTGCTCTCCTTGTAGCACCTTGTTCTGCCTCAACTCTCCTCTCCCATTCCAGAAGTAGCCTGTTAGGATCTGCGGTGCTCAGCTCTCGCATCTTAGTAGTGGCCATTCAGCTGAGACACATAGTAGCCAAGGGTCAAAATCTGATGGTCAGGGCAGCCTTGAATTGAGTGTGCACCAGTCTCCTGGGGCTGCCATAACAAATTATCACTAACTTGGTGTTTAAAGCAACAAGAATGCTAGATGTGATGGCACACGCCTGTAGTCCTAGCACCAGGGAGTTAGGAAGGAGAAGGAATGCTATAACTTCAAGGCCAGTTCAAACTACATACTGAGACCCTGTCTCAAAAGCCATGGGAATGTAACCTCTCACAATCTAGCGGCCAGAAATCTAGAGAAGCCAGGCGCCAGCTGGGTTATGCTCCCTCTGAAGACTTGGAAACCATCCTGCCCTGTCCTGTTCAGCTTCTGGGATCCCAGGCCTTCCTTAGCCAAGGGTCTTTACACTGAGCTACATCCCCAGCCCTTATTATGGTGAGACAAGATCTTGACCCGGTTGGGTTGTAATTTAGGGTCCTCCTCGCCCCAGCCTCCCAGAATGCTGGAATTACAGGTGTGTGCTGTCACACTTGATTCTATATGTACCTTGTAAAGACAGCTGTCATTGGATTTAAGGTGCACCCAGATAATCTAAGTTGAATGATCTCTCAAGATCCTCACTTAATTACATCTGCAAAGGTACTTTTCTAAGTACATGGACATGGAGTTTCAACAGTTTGACATGGAGATAGCTTTCAAGGACCATCGCTCACCCTATTGTGGAGTGGGATATGAGGGCAACCCTGTTTTCTTCCCTCTCAGGACTCCCCAACCTCTCAGTTCCCCCACTCCTAGGCAGGTAGCCTAATATAACCTACTAAGGGATGGGAGCTGGCTCGCGCAGAATTAATGGCCAGTCTTGGGCTTTCTATTGCAGCCCTTGAGCTATGAGCTGACTCTGGTCTCAAGACAGGACCTGCAGCCTGACCTGGGCAACATCAAAGCCTTGGGGGTTGGGGGACTCCATCTCCTAAAAGTTCTGCAAAATTCCAATAAATCATCTTGCACTCTCCCTCCCAGACCTGCGCACAGCATTTGACATCATCTGCGATAACGTGGGAAGAGACTGGAAAAGACTGGCCCGTCAGCTTAACATTTCCGACACCAAGATTGACGCAATTGAGGAGCGATACCCCCGAAACCTACCAGAGCGTGTGAGGGAGTCGCTGAGGATCTGGGGGAACTTGCAGAAGGAGAACGCAACTGTGGCCCGCCTGGTGCAAGTGCTCCGGGACTGCAGGATGAACCTGGTGGCCGACCTTGTGGAGGAGGAACAGCAGGCCCGGGAGTCCCAAAATGAGAGCAAAAGCATGTCCTCAATGGCATGGGAATCAGAAGCATCCTCCTCACAGTGACCTTCACAGCCCCACCACTCTTCTGGGGGACCATTATCCACTTGGTGCTGTCCACCGAAAGCAGCGTAGTACCTTTGCTGCCCAGCACTAAAAAGACCCCAAGAAACTAGGCAGAGAGCCCTGTTTCTGCAGCTGCAGCCCCATCACTTCTCAGTGAAGGCAGTGTTAACTGAGCATCTGTCGGGCTGGGGTTTGAACACTGCACAGATGTTCCCATGTGTTCTTTACCGTCACCATTTTTTTCAGTGAGCACCTGCAGGAAAAAGTTGAAACTGCTGAACACATAGAAGGAACCCGCTGACATTGTCAGTTGTTACTGTCACTCTGCAGGTGAGTAGGGCAGGAGGGAGTCAGAAAGGTGGCACATCTGATTCCAAATCCACACTTCTCACCACTGTCCAGCTGCCACCCCCACAGCTGACTTCAGGGTAGACCTAGGACACCAGGATCCTGCCCTGGAGTCATGACCCACACACCTCTGGCCTCTGAGTGAGCAGAGTCTGAGGCTGGCCGAAGGGACAGTGGTGGCTGTGGGACAGACTGAGGGGTCTTCAGAAGTGCTCGTGTCTGGTGCACTCGATAAACGTTCTCACAAGAGGACGATTGCTGTGATTGTGCAGTTTACCATTTGTATCAGAATGACTGTGTGATAACAGAACCAGCAAGAGAGCAGGAGCTGTAAGAATCGAGCCCTGCAATCTGTTGAGCAAGTAAGTGCCTTTGCTCTGGAAACTGTTCCATAGAATGAGTTGCTATTCCTTTTGAGGACACTTTGATCTTGAATCTTCTCTGGAGCCACACTACAGCAATGGCAGTCTGCCTTGTGCTCATCCCGGGTGCTCACCTATGAGTAGGTGGTAGATCACTATATGGCACTAACCATGAGCGAAGGGTGGTCCAGCTTTGCCCTTTTGGAGCTGCCTGCTTCTGACAATCATCAAACTAAAGCCAAGCCGTGGCATTTTGTGCCGGCTCTGCCCTTGTGAGTGTAGAAAACCGCATGTGCCATGCTGTGCTACCTGCACCCTGGATTATCAAGTCCCTGGGCAAGGTTCTAGGCACACTGTCACACTAAACTGTGGCCATGGCCTTTGAACTCCTCTGTGCCTTCCTGGTTGTTCCTTCTCAGGGAACAGGAGCAGGAATGTGGAGCAGAGCTAGATTCCACCCAGCCTCCCATGCCTTTGAAGGCACCCAGCGTGACGCTTGGAAGTGGAGTTGCGTCCCCAGACCTGGAAGTCCTGTTTTTCCTCTCTGCTGGACCACACCACTGTGCATCCTGGGATCGGGAGGAGATGGGCCAGCTCCTGAGAATGTGGAACACAGAACCAGCCCTGGAAAGGGGGCCCAGAGCCACACAGAGGCATCCGTCACAGAGCAGCTGCTATCATGACACTGCAGGCGCTGAGACTATGCCTAGTAGGACAGCAGCCTGCCCTCGGGGACCTCGGGCTGTCCCTGCTTACCCAGAACAGAAGAGAAAAGGCAGTAGTGCTCACAAGGCCCTAGGCATAAAGGTGATGGCAGCAAGTTTTTGACAATGGAAATTATTTGCTGGATAATGAACTTTTTTCTGTGCTGTTGCTATGATGCATTTTTTTGTTGTTGTTTTGAGACAAAGTCTTGCTAGGTAGTTCAGGTTGGCCTTAACTCACTGGATAGCCTATGCTGACCTCACACCATGATCCTCCTGCCCCAGCCTCCTGAGTGCTGGGGTTACAGTTGTATGCCACCGCACCCAGCTCATTTTTCAGTTTTTAAAGACTCCTGAAAATATGGTAGTTGACTGCACTGGCAGGCAGGGCACATGCACAGGGAGAGAGAGAACACATGGCCTCTCAGGTTGGCCTGGGTTTGAGTCCTGGCTGCCCCTAGTGGCCACATCACCCCAAAGGGACCATCAGTAAACACTAAGAATCTGTGAGTATCACTTCTCAGGGACCTTAAAAATAAGCAGCAAAGCTGAACATGGTGACATACATCTGTAATCCCAGCCCAAGGCAGAAAGATTACAAGTTCGAGCCCAGGCCACTTAGCAACTTAGCAAAGGCCCTGGATTGGCTCTCCAGTTCTGGAAAAAGAACAAAAACCAAGCAAGGCTTTACCTGGAGCCCTAGGGAGCTGTCCAGAGGCCATTTTGCCCAGAACATGGGAGCCCAGCACTCAGTTATGGCCCTAGGATGTCATCTTCCTTTCTTCTGTAGTTGGAGTTGGGGGAACAGGGCAGCCCCTTTCAAGGGAAGGCACTCAGGATCTTCCTGACCCTCCTTGGGACAGAAGTGCTCAATGTCCTGTGGGCACCGTGACCTTGGATACAGGTTCCGATGCACCCCACTCAGTCCGGAGCTGTTGTGTTTGAAGAGGGTTTCTTGGGGGAGGGGCGGCGGAATCACATTCCTTTTTTTTTTGGTACCAGGGATCAAACTCTTGACCTCACACTTGCCAGGCAGGCACTTACACCACTGAGCTACATCACTGGCCACATTCCTCTCTTTGCCTCTATACAATCCATGATTCTGAAAAAGGTGCACTCAGGCTGTGGGGTTTGCCTGACAGCACAAGTGAGCAGCCACAGCTTGCTGTCCTAAGTCTAGAGGTCTCAGCTTTGCAGGGGACTCCAGGCCTCTCCACGGTTTGTCCTGGACCAAAGGCTCCAGCCCTCCTTTCCCAGCTGCCTTCTCCCACCATGGCAGCCCTGCTTTCCCAACTGCACCCCAAACAGCGCTCTCCAGCAACCACCCCCTAGACTCCAGGGTGCTCCAAATCTGCTGCACCTGGTCTTCCCCTGTAGGAGTTGCAGTTTGTCCTGGCTGTTGAGGACTCTCCCTTTGAGATGCTGTTCTTGAGCACCCTTGTCATGACCACCTCCTCGAAGATGCCACGCTGTCTTCTCACCAGGAGCACAGACCCCTTCTAGACCTGTCCTGTCCCAGATCCTGGGCATCTGCTGTGTCTCTCTAGGCTATATCTTTCCTGGAGGCCCTGTCCCCTTCCTATCAGTGGCCTCAGTGGCCCTATGGAGACCATCCTGATACCTAGTATGAGTTTCTTGTGGCTGCTACAACAAATCCCTGCTTGTTGACTGGCTTCACTCACATTTTTCTTAAGGTTCTAAAGGTTAGGAATCCAAAGTGGATCTCTCAGGGCTCAAGTCATTTGTGAGCAGGCCTGGCTCCTTGCCATGGGCAGCATCTCTGTCAGCCTGCACGCATCTGAGCTTCCAGCTCAGAGTCTTCCCGTTACATTCCTTCCTGTCTCCCTGCCCTCTTCCTCCCTCCCCCACTGCAAGAGGCTTTGCGATCTCTTTGTGGTATCTGAGTAAATCAAAATCATCTTCCCATCGTCGCATCCTTCATCTAACACTGTGTAACATGCCTTTTGCCATGTCAGGGAGCCCACGGGTCCAGGCATTCGGATGTGGACAGTGGTCCTAGCTCTTTGCTGGATGCTCTCTCATCTGCCCACCAGACCAGCCTTCTCCTCGCCCTTAGGCTCACTTGTGCCACATAGCAGACCTGGGTCCTGAACCCAGTTCCTCATAAGTGTCACTCTTGGCCACCTTCTCTTCTGCCCTTTCTGCAGTCCTCATTCCCAACATGGCCACCCTCTGTTCTGGACCAGGACACACTGGCCTAATTCATCTCCTGCCTCTGCTCTTACCCTGGCCCAGCTCAACCCAGCCCCCACCAGCAGCTGCAACCACAGACCCCTGTCTGTCTCGGAGAAGCCACATGCTCTCCGTGCAGGTTTTACTTCATTTTTTTATTCCATGATAACTGTTGTGAGTCATCTAGCTGAGTACTTTCTGACCACACAGTCCCCATGTGGACAGCGTTTGGAACCAGATGGCGAACGTGACTTGGGCTGCCCCTGTTCATGCCAAAGTGGCCAGTCACCCTGACTTGTCTTTTTCAGGGAAAATATGCAACAGAAAGCATTTTCACTTCAGCAACCCTTAGGCTCTTGAACCATGCACGTCAAGCCTGTGATCTGTCACCAAGCGGCAAGCTGACTCAAGGAAAGAAGTGACATGGTGAGACAGGATAGAAGAAATAAAGATAGAAGGAAACAAGGAGAGTCGTAGTTTTAAAGTTGTACTTTTAAGACGACTACACTTAGTTTCCCAGGATTATCTATTGCTTTATGTCATATTTTACACTCTGAGCGTGTTCATACGCCCGTCTTTTTTCTTCCAGGCCCATCACAACTAAATCCTTTAGAGATACTGTAAGTGTGATGTGCCAACTTAACTGGATTAAATGCTTAAGGCAGTAACGAAGCCCAATTACCCATGTATCTAGCCAGCTCACAGAGCATGTGTGTGGGCACTGTGTATGGTCCCCACTATACAATAGGGTACCCCTGCCTCTCACTGTCCTGCCCTCTCCTGACCACCACAAACTAAACAACTCTGCTCTCCTAGATCCTTCCACTTTTCTGCCTTGCAACCAGCTAATCATGGACTGAGTTCTTAGAATCCGTGAGCCAATATTAAACTTCTCTAGCCTGTCAGGTATTAAGTTTCAGTGATAGGAAACCTAACAAAATCCGTAAATTAGTTGATAAGGTAAAGAGTCAACTACACAATAATCTCAATCTGTAATCCCAAGTACCCATGAGGCTGAGGCAAGAGAATTGCTTCTAGCTTGAGGTCAACCTCCTCCACATAGCAAGACCCTTTCTCAAAGTGTAAAAAAAAAAAAAAATGATAAAGAGCAGCCGCCTCAAAATGTTCTGTCTCAAGTGGAACATCTTAGATCACCTATCTTAATTCCTCTAAGAACACATTTTTCCCTATCCGCCAGCCATCACAGGTCCCTGTTTAGGGCCTGTCCTCTGTTACTAGTGGGTACTGTAATTCTGCCTGATAAATTCTTGTGTACCCCTCACAGATGCATCCTGAAAATCTGCTTTCTGTGACAAGGACGAAGAACTGACTCAGACTGTGCTGAGTCTGTCTCTTCAGGGGACCTCAAACTCATCTGGTGACAATAGGAATGAAGTTGTGTGCTGAAATGGGGCGACATGGTAGCCATTTGTGCTACTTGCAACACAAGGGTTCCAGAACTGACAGTGGTGGAGATGAGGTTATGGTTTCAGCCAGGGTCACACACAGTGTCCAAGCTGTTCGTAACGAAGCGTTCTGGAGGTGGACAGTGGTGACGGCACAGTTCATGGTCCCAGGCTCCATGCTGGAAAACGGTTAGAAGGGTAAATTTAATGTTAGGCATATTTTTTCACAATAAAAAAGTCAGACCTCATTGTTAGCTATGCATGCATTTCATTCTCAGTTTAAACTGTCTTGCTGGCATCCCTTCCTAATTTGTCATTTTATGGGTAATAGAGATAATCATGAAGGCTGAAAGTATAAGTTTGTATTCTGCTTTAGTTTTCATTCATTGAAATTATTTTTTTTTTTTTTTTGTCTTTTTCGTTTTTATCAGTACCAGGGATCGAACTCACGACTGCCTGCTTGCAAGGCAGGCACTTATGCCAGTGAGCTAAATCTCCAGCCCCTATTCATTGAAAATAAAAACCCAGTGATCACTGACGGCCCAGGGCAGTGTCAGTCCTTCCAGAGGGGCTCTGGCTGGAGGAGCCAGGCTCCGCAGACCTGCATCCCCCTGGAATGAGGTCCTCATCTCAGCAGCATCATGCAGCACAGCATGAGCAGTGCATGCCCTCACTGCCCCGTGCCACTTGTCCCTGCCATGGCAGGACTCGTCCAAACTTCAGCAGCCTCTACCTGCATTCCCCATACCCTTCCCCGCATCCCACCCAGGTTTGAGGTCCTTAGACCCTGCCACAGTGCCCCAGTGGCAGCCTGCCCAGCTGCCCCTGCAGGCCCCTACTCTGCTGCCCCACTTGGGTCTGAGGGCTGCTGCAACACTCGGCCTGAAACCATATCTAAAAAGAACCATCAAATTGGGTATTTGGTGCATTTTGACACAAAAACGTTATGCCAGTACTTGTCACTGCTTTGGCGCCCAGCGGGCAAGCCAGAACTTGTCAGTATCCATTACCTCATGACGTAACTGCCCTTCACAGCCGAAACAGTTTGTTTGGTACTCATTAGTTTTGGCACTTGTCACACTTCTCAGAAATGATTAGTGGCAATTGCTGAGGTATTGCTGTTCTGTATGTGAGTGAAGGAAGTCCCAGGAAGGAAAGGAAAAGGCCCAGAATCCCCAGACCTGCAGCAGAGTTGTCTGGTTTCCAGAGCAACCCAGCTGCAATCTCACAGTGGCCTTTGGTGGCCAGCCTCCGTGACGGTGGCAGCATCGAGCTTCCCCGGAGCAGGTCCTAGCATTCATCCTGCCCGTAGCAGTGAGCCACCCACTGCCCTCCCATAGTTCCTGCTTGGCAGCTGCCACCTGCCAGGAGTCCTGTCCCAAGAGCCAAGAAAGAGCGCCGAAAGGACCGGATGGGGAGATGGGGTTTGGATCCTGAGTTCCTTCAGGCTGCAGGATCAGAGGATAAAGAGGGGCTACTAGATGGGGTGGGGAGGCTGGCATGTCCCAGGCAGGGCTGAGGGTAGGAGGGGACCTGAGTAGTGTGTGGTGCCAGAGGACACAGAGAATGGATCCAAGAGCTTCTTGGAGCTTGGCATGGTGGGACACGGGGGTGGGGTTTCCAGGAAGAGGACAGTGTCCTGGAAAGAACTAGTGCCGAGAAGGAGACATGGAGGCTGTGGCATGGGGAGTGTGGCATGATCAGGTGGGGCCAGGCCTGGCAGGAGTGGACGCCGAGTCTGTGAGGACATAGAGAACCAGGGGCTCCAGCATCAAGCTGAGCAGAGACGGCAGCACAGGAGCCGAACTTACATCAGTCCACCCTCAGGACATGGCTCCTGGGAGACTCTTCTGTGAGACGTCTAGCCCCACCTCCAGAGTCTGAGTCAGTTGGGAGCAGAGCCTGGGAGCCAGCCCTGCATAGCCCCCTTGCTGCTGGGGGAGGAGGGCTGCCGGTTTCATCACCCACAGCCAAGACCTACTGCTAATTGTCCTGGCCTATCTCGTATACCCTACCAAACTGCTAGGACAGGCTGGGGCCGCCTTAACTCACTTTTGATCTCATATGCGGGCAGAGGTACCCATTACAACCAGGCCCCCGGGGGAGATCTTAGCCCTCCCATGCCATGCGGGCTTTGTCTGCTGGGTAACAGCTTTCACCCCACCCGGTGGGCACAGGATGGATCCCTGGGTTCCAGGTGGGCCCTCTGCCTGGAGGGCGAATCCTGGATTTTCAACCTGCCCTTCCCCAGGAAGCTACAGTGTAAGCAGAGGCCAGGGGTGCACCAGGGGTGCGTGCCGTGCGGGGCTTTTGTTGTGTCCTTAGACTTATCCGGGGAGGCTCCATTGTCCAATTTGCTAAACAAATTGACCTGAGTCTTGACAGTTTCCCTGCCCCGTCCTGAGATTACACAGTGCAGGGCCTGCAGTCCCTTCAGTGTCCTGGTTCTTGAGCTCTGTGTCCCCAGCTTTCACCCTATGTCCCCTGAACTCCCTGAGTGTCTTATATCAGGCTTGCACTCCTGACCTGCCAGCCATGGCCCTGAGCAGAGGGGCTGTGCCTTTGCTTACCGTGTCCTCTGTTCACTGCCGTTGAACCCCTACCTACTGTCTGCTGCAAGCAGATTGGGAAGCTTCTGCCTTCTGATTCCTGCTGTGCTGGGACGGGGTGGGGTGGGGGGCTCTGAGCTCTACTGGTATCAATTAGTGATTGGACCTTTTAGGTCTTTTGGTGGTTTGTTTGGTTTTTTTGTTGTTGTTGTTTTGTTTTTTGTTTTTGTTGTTTGTTTTCTTGAGACAGGGTCTCACTATGAAATGCAGGCTGGCCTGGAAGTCACAGTGCTCTTGCAACCTCCTGTGCACAACCACACCTGGCTCTGGATCTACTGTTATATGCATGGAAACTGCTTTAGGCACTGGGAGGAGGGAAATGTTTGGGGGATAAAACCTGGTTCCTGATTCTAAGGAGTACCAGGTCTAATGAGAGAGACAACAGGGAAATAACACCGAGGAAAAGACAAGTCTTGAGAGCTAAAGGGACTTGTCATTAGATGGAGTTCCTAGTTCCAAGGCCCATACAATTTCCAGGACACCAAATTGCCTTTTCATGGAGGATGCTATTTGTGTTGGGTTTTGTAGGATAAGTAAGAGCTCTCCAGATGGCAAGCAAATAGAAAGAGGAAAGGAACATTGTAAGGCATCAAACTGTTTAGTGGGGCTGGTTCCAGGCAGATTCAGGAAGCTGGGAGTAAAGGAAGAATTTATATTTTATCTCTTAGACAAAAAAAAAAAAAAAAAACAGTAAAATATTTGAAATAGGACATGATTAAATGTGTCACAACTCACTAGAGATCTCATGTGTTTTTGTTTGTTAGAAAACTGAGAAAAACAACAGACGTGGTGTGGCACATACCTGTAATTCCAGCACTCGGGAGGCTGAGGCAAGAGGATTGCAGTGATTTCAAGACCAGCCTGGGATACTTAATGAGTTCAAGTCCAGCCTAAACTGCACAGCAAGACCTGCCTTAAAAAAAAAAAAAAAGACAAAGAACAAATGAGAAAAACAAATAGACTGGATTTCTTAGGGTCACGCTCCAACCTTCTGACGAGTGTGGAGGCATGGGTGATACATATAACCATTTGGGAAGGCTGTGGTGTGTTAATGAAGGCTGTGTAGGAGCTTGGCTCTCACCCTTTGTGTGTGTGTGTGTGTGTGTGTGTGTGTGTGTCTTTTTGTTTTGGTTTTTTTTTTTTTTTCATTTTTTTTAAAGCCAGTCAAATTTAGCAGTGTAGGGGGGTGGTATACCAACTTTAGTGACACTAATGTTAATAAGTTCTGATAACCCACTGCCATTGGACCAGCCTTTTATTACTTTTTTTTTTTTAATGTGTGTGTATGTCTTTTTGAAATAGGGTCTTGCTATGCCATTCAGGCTGGCTTTGCACTCACACTGTGACTCAGGCTGGTCTCTAACTCACAATGATCCTCCTGCCTCAGCCTCCCAAGTGCTGGGATTACAGGCATGCGCCATCACACCTGGATTGGCTCTCACTTTTTCCCAGTGTCCTTTGAGGGAGTCTTGGGTCAGTCTCAAGGTCCCTCAAACTGTAATTACAGCAAATTCAGTTTTCCTCATCTGACAAGGAGATGGAAGGTGAGGTTCTAGAGGGCTTGGGGATTAGTACAGGGATTCCCCATAGGAAGTGAGGGACAGGTCCCCTAGACTTTCCACAGCTCATTCAGCTGAACTGACCCACAGAACCAGACAGGCACGGCAGGCCCACAACATGGCATGCCTTGGGGGAGGGACAAAGTCCACCCCAGGCCATGATCATAGGTAGCTACCTGTCCTAGGAAAGCTGCCCGGTGGGTAATCCCTGGTGGCCTGCAAGTGACCAGGCATCTTTGCACCATGCAGGAGAAGCCCAGAGAGCTAAAGTAAAGCGTGCTCATGCCAGAAATGCCCTGCTGAAAGCACCAGCTCACACTGGAAACAAACTGTCTGTGGCCTGGTGCTGGGGCAGTCAGGGCCCCCACGCTCTCACTTTGGGGCCCCAAACACTCTCACACAGACTTCCTGGGTGTTCCCTCGTACATTTTTGCTGGACAAAGTTTGGATGCAACTTTCCCCGTCCCCCAGTTCATTTCTGCATCCCCTCGCTCGTTCGTGCCCAGAGCGGGGTGCAGCTCCCTTGGTGCAGCTCTGCTGCTCTGTCAAGAATCAAGGCTGTTTTCCCCCATCTTTGCAGCATGGTTTGACCAGGTGACTGGAAGTATGTGGAACCTCGAGAAGGATCCTTAAAGGGAGGTGTGTGTTCTTTGACATTCTTTTCCTCCTCCCTTCCGCCTGGAATGATGCATGATGGTGGGGACACAGGCACCACTGTATATAAGATCACAAGGAGGCAAAGCTTGAAGAAGGACCTTGGGTTCTGATGACTGTAATGCCATCTGCCATCCCCAGAAGGCTATGTCAGCACTGACCTGAGCCAGAGAAGAACACTTCTCTCACTAACAATACTGTGACGTGGGGTTTTAGACACTTGCCATGAAGATAACCCTGTCCAAAATGCAGGCTCACCTTCAGGACATATAAAGGAACGATGAGTGTCTCGAAACTTCAGTATCTGAAGCTGCTCATGGATTTGGCCACCCTTCGAGGCTCTGAACATGAGAGCCACTTGCAGGAAGAAGGCGGCGGGGCTGTGTTCCCGCAGCATCAGGATGCTCAGCGCCCTGATGTGGAGTC